CCACACCATGTTGGCCACGCATCGCCATCGGTGCCATCGCGCGTCCGTTTGTGTGGCCAGTGCGCTGTTGGCAGTGAGGCCGAGGATGGCCGACATGTGTTTACAAAGGCCCCAAAGGAAATCGCGACAAGTGCAGATAACTAATATGATAACTAGGCCAATTGAATGGTTTATGGGGAATATAAGATGATATAACTATAGTATTCATGGGGATTATAAACCAATGACCTTGTAGCTATCCATTACTTTATGTTCACGCAGGATTTTGCCCAAAAAACAGTTTTTGAAAATGGGGTGGTTAGCAAGTCTAGTAATAGAATGGGCTAACGCCCTGGTGCCGCCGACCCCCTTTCAAGGGTGCGGATAATATACACGTGATGTTATAATATGCTTGAACGCCCTAACAACAGAGGCTATGTGCAGGCAAACGGCAGGCTGCAATGCTGGAACAGTAGGCGCTGACGGCCAGAGGTCTTGGTGGCAGCTGCCGCGAGGAAGCTGCCGCGAGGCGCCCTAGGCATGGAGGCCCTAACGAGGCGCCCTAGGCATGGACGCCCTAACAACAGAGGGCCATGCAGGCAAACAGCCGGCGAAGGAACAGCGGAGGCAAATGGCCGGCGAAGCATTTTAGGGGTTGTAAGGGTTTGAAGGCTGGCAAACGGCAGGCTTGAACGCCCTAACAACAGGGTCTATGTGCAAGCAAACAGCAGGCTGCAACGCTGTGAAGGATGGCACTGTGAAGGAAAAAGCGTATGTTTACGATTGCCCCGCGTGCAAAGGGAATGTGGCCAGTGACGTGAAGACAGGGCAAATAGACCATCGAACGGTGTGTGGGAACAAGTTTTCTGTCAAGGACAGCGCTGTGAAGGAAAAAGCGTATGTTTAAGGGTTTTAAGGGTTTTAGGGGTTTGGAATGCCTGGCGAACGGCACGCTGGACCGCCCGGAAAAAGCTTGGACGCCCATAAGAAGCCATTGATGTGGCCTTGGGATGCCTGTTGGCTGCGAATGCTTGGCGAACGGCACGCTGGACCGCCCAGAAGAAGCGATGGATCTGGCCTTCGGGTAGCTATTGCTTGCGCTGGACGCCCATAAGAAGCCATTGATGTGGCCTTGGGATGCCTGTTGCTAAGAAAGACAAGTTCGAACGGTGTGTGGGAACCAGTTTTCTGTGAAGGATGTCGCTGTGAAGGAAAGAGCGTATGTTTACGTTTGCCCCGCGTGCAAAGGGAATGTGGCCAGTGACGTGAAGACAGGGCAAATAGACCATCGAACGGTGTGTGGGAACAAGTTTTCTGTCAAGGACAGCGCTGTGAAGGAAAAAGCGTATGTTTAAGGGTTTTAAGGGTTTTAGGGGTTTGGAGGGTTTGGAGGGTTTGGAGGGTTTTAGGGGTTTAGGGGTTTAGGGGCTGGCAAACGGCAAGCTTGCACGCCCATAAGAAGCCATTGATGTGGCCTTGGGATGCCTGTTGGCTGCGAATGCCTGGCGAACGGCACGCTGGACCGCCCAGAAAAAGCTTGGACGCCCATAAGATGTGGCCTTGGGATGCCTGTTGGCTGCGAATGCCTGGCGAACGGCACGCTGGACCGCCCAGAAAAAGCTTGGACGCCCATAAGAAGCCATTGATGTATAAGAAGCATTGATGTGGCCTTGGGATGCCTGTTGGCTGCGAATGCCTGGCAAACGGCACGCTGAACCGCCCAGAAGAAGCGATGGATCTGGCCTTCGGGTAGCTATTGCCTGCGCTGGACGCCCATAAGAAGCCATTGATGTGGCCTTGGGATGCCTGTTGCTAAGAAAGACAAGTTCCACACCTGCGGTGGTCCCAGGCGCCGCCCCTGCCTTGGCGAAGGCCGGGGTCGGCGGATTAGTAACTTAGAAAATTATTATTGGGGGCAACCTTACTTAGTTGTCAGGCTTGATGAATCCAGGTTGACATTACAATAAGTTGCTTCTTTGATCAAAAAAACATAGCTATTGATGTCATGGTGGGGGATAATATGACATTGGAATATCATATATCATCATGAAATAGAAACATGTTTTAAGCCAACAATTTGCAGACACACAAGGATGGTTTGTTGGCGGCAGGCATGCTTCACAGCTACCCTTCACATGTGTCGTGGTTCGCCACGGTGAGACTGCGTCTCGGTCCCAAAGAGCTGAGAAATGGGGTGCCTCATTGGCGTTCTGGGTGTGGTTCAAGATCTTACACCTCACAACTCCAACTCCAAAAATCGTCAATTAAATGATATTAAATGGATGTCATAATGGGATCATTAGATATTTTTATCCAGATGTATTAGAACTGTTTTTTCACACATCAATTTTGTGGCTCCTATGGTACCTATGGTAGCCTATGGTACCCTTCGCCATGGCGATGCCACCAAGGATTGGAACAGGCAGCTGCGTGTTCAAGGCACTACGGATGTGCCGCTGAATGCACGTGGCCGCCTGCAAGCAGAACGGTGCCATGGCGGAATAGCGATGCCTTTGAAGAAATGGTAAAGATATGGAATTCGAAAAAATACGACCATTTTTTGTGCGAACTTTTTTTTGGGGATTACCGTTCGACATTACCAATTGCGACACAGTCAGTTTTGGAATGATTTGGGACAATTGTTCTATCGATTTGCAGTTGGACCACTGTGATGATGATGTTCGAGTGATATTCCAGGCCGGTGTCAGGTCCCCCACAAGCCCTGGATGGTTTGAATTGGGCTGTGCCATTCCCATTCCACGTCTGAATGCGTCTTAGCATTCAAAGATATTCAAAGTATTTAAACATATTGAAATTCTGTAATTATCATTAATTATCCCTGAATTGGGACCACTTCTGCGAACGTTTGAAAGTTTCTTGTTGATGTGGAGCCTGAGGTGTGCAGATTCGGTATTGACCCAGTTGACCCTGAGCTGCAGATTTTGGACCATTCCGAATGCCAGGGCCCTTGTTTTTGTTGCTTCTCCCCGAAAATTCGTGTTACTTAGATCATCCCATTTTGTTCCCATTGTAAACAATGTTCCGATGATGATTTGTTGTATATCATATATACTGTATTCCCATTCTGGTATAATTCCCATTATACTGCGTAATTCCCATTATAAACAGAATAATAATGATAATGATAATGATGAGGATGTGGATGACGATGGTGATGGTGATTCCAATGATTCCAGTTTGAATTGGGGATGGGTCAAAACCCTGGTACCTAGTGAACCCCAAAATAGCTGGTAAATGGATGTTCATCCCACTAAAAATGTATCTATAGGTATTGACCCATACCCAATTCTGTTCGGAATTCCCAGCCTTTGCTCGGCACACCCAGTCGGCACCGCCTGTGTCCCTCGGAGCGCTCCACGCCGATCCTCTCCAGTTCCCTGCAGCGCGCCGCGGACACGGCGCAAGCCATCGCAAGAGCGGTGACGGCGGAGGTGCACAAGGCGTGAGCAAAGGATTCTGGTGGGGATGGGAAGATATATACATTATGTATATATATGTTTTTTCTATATTTACAATTGTATTATTAATAATATACATATTTAAGTTTTTGTATATGATAGGATATATCTATAGTATAATTCGACTGACAATCTGATAGAGAATCTATACCTTCTAGATGGTGTAACAAGGTAACTAAAAACTGCTTATATATCGGATCTTGTATACTGTGTGATCTGATTGATTTTCTTTTACTATGATGAGTAATTTTGACAAGCATGGGATATACCATAGCTTTAAGGATAGTAACCATTATCCTAAGAGCTATGGTAATCCTACTATTATCGTATTATTCGTTTGGTATCCTCTATGCTGATATGCTAACTATGGTATATTGCGGTACCAAAGTATGCAGTTCTGGTATAGTAACTCTACGGCCAAACACCTCGTCTTGCCCGCGCCTGTTGGCCCGCCATAGAATGGGTGCTTTAAAGAATTCACAAACCTTGGACAGGTCCGATTTTTTTCCAGGCGATTTCATTTCGCAACCCACTGTAGGAACCCTTATCAAGCAGCAGATCTGGGACGAGACCTTATCATAGATGGGAGGTGATGACAGTTGAATTTAGTTTGCCATGGCTGTGCCGATCAAGAAAATGTTTGATTTACATTCTAAGTCAGTGACTTGGACAGACACATTATATTTGGAAATCATAAACACATTGCAAACACATTATACACACATTGATTTACATTTACTATTTTTCAAATCATAAACACATTATATTTGAAATGACATTGTCCAAAAACCTAGGTGAAGTATAATGCCGTTAGTAACTAAGCAACAATAAGCCACCCATAGATGGTTTACGTTTATACTACCAATTCATGGTAGAATTGGGGATGGTTTCTTATTGCTTTACTAACATTAATGTGAAGTCACTAAAACAATGGTTAGTAAGGGGGATCATCCCCAAATGGCCCTACTTCAACTATTTCAATTCAGCCAGAACGATATTCTTAACTACAGAACTTCCTATCATTTTCAGAACTGACACAACGGCATCTAAGAACCATTGACAATCCATATTATATTGACCATTGTTTTTCCAAAGTTTTAGGCAGCAATAGCCCTTAACTTCCATTAGGAACCACTACCAACAATACTTGGACAATGGTAAATTTAACATCTGTCCATGTGAACTATTGAACATTATTGGTACCCATCTTAATCCCATGTTAAATCTCATTAGTTACCGTGAGCAACCGCACGAACGACCCATCAGGACATCCGTTTGAACGAGTGGAATCTTGGAGTGATCGAGGGAATGAGTCACCTGGCGCGGCTCATGAGTCGTGGGTCTACACTCCCTGACTTAACTGAGCGCACTTCCAGTTAAAAAGTTTGTAATATATTTAATTTGTATATATACTATATACTATATTACATAATATATACTATATATATATATACACATAATACACATACTATTTACATACTGGTTATCACCCTGGTTATCTTCGTTCATAACCCCAACTGCAACCCCAAGTAAATCTATGAA